TAATTGCTCTGGACAAAGACACAAATGATAAAAGTAAAAACTGATAAATTAGACATCAGTATAAGGACCTTCCTTGTATAGAAAGATCACCATTAGATAGCAGAGGTAGCCCATGGACTAGGAGAAAATATCTGCAAGTCAGACAGGGGGTAAGAGTTCACTGCCCAGAATTCAGAAAGAACAACTCTGGCAGATGTGGCCTCAGCACTTGGGAGACTGAGGCAGGAGGATCATGAGTTTGAGGTCAGCCTGAGCTACATAAAGAGACTCTGAAAAACAAACACTTAAAGTACTTGAGTAGACATTTTTCCAAAGGAGACATCCAAAGAGCTCTGTGTTAGAAAAATGAAATGAAGGCCTCACAGGCTGCTCAGGGGTTAAGGTGCTTGCTGACAAGCCTGACGACCTAATTTTGATCCCTAGGTTCCACATGGTGAAAAGAGAGAACCAACTCCTGCACGTTATCCTTTGACCTCCACACAGGCACCGTACCCCCCAATAAATAAATACAAACTTAAAATTTAATAAAGGGCTAAAGGGATGGCTCAGTGGTTAAGAGCACTAGCGACTACTGCAGAGGACCCAGGTTTGGTTCCCAGCAACAACCACCTGTAGCTCCAGGCCCAGAGAATCACACCCTCTTTTGGCTTCTATGGGCATTGCACCCACATGGTGTACTTTCATACATGTAAGTGGAACAGTCATCTACATAAAATAAATATTTAATAAAAAATGAAAAATCTACTAAAAACTTAAAAAAATATTTTAAAAAGAAAAGTGTAAATGAACCTGCTGGTGAGCTGCCACCGAGCACTCATCAGATGATTATGTTCAGACTAGCGGAAAGTAACAATTGACAGGTGTGTGCAGAAGTGAACCGTGTGCATTGCTGGTGGGAATATCAAGTGGTGTGGAAGTCAGCCTGGCAGGTCCCAAAAATGTAAACATTGGATTACTGTTTTATTCAGTGATCGCACTTCTGAGTATATACCCAAGAGAAGTAAAATCAAGGACTCAAGCTGAAATTTGTACAGTCTTTTTTTTTTTGATCTCCCTGTAGTCCCAGCTGACCTGGAATTCAGTCCATGGACCAGGCTTAGTTTCACAGAGTGGTGGAATCAAAGGTGTGCACCACCATGCCCAGCTTATAGTCGTGTTTGTTATAGTGAATGAAAGCCAACAACAGCCCAATTCTTTTCTAAAATATTTTATCATTTTTATGTGTATGAGTGTATTGCCTACAAGTAGGTAGGTGCACCTGTGTCATGTAATGCCCACAGAGGTCAGAAGAGGGAGTTGGATCCCCTGGAGCTAGAGTTTTGGATGGTTGTTAGCTGCCATGTGGGTGCTGGGATTCGAACCTGGGTCCTCTACAAGAGCACCAGTGCTCTTAACCGCTGAGCCATCTCTCTAGTCCCAACAGCCCAATTCTTAATCAACTGGTGAATGGACAAACTGTTGCATGTCCACACAGTGGATTATTATTTAGCCTTTATAAAGAAATGGGAAACTGGGTTTGGTGGTGGTACATGTCCATAACCCTGGCCACTCAGGTGGCCAAAGCAGGAGGATCACAAGTTCAAGGCCAGCCTGTGTAAATAAGTGAGACTTTGAAAAAAAAAATTTTTTTTGTCTTTTTGAGACAGGGTCTCCCTGTAGCCCCAGCTGTCCTGGAACTCACTATGTAGACCAGGCTGGCCTTGAACTCACAAAGATCCGCCTGCCTCTGCCTCCCGAGTGCTGGGATTAAAGGCGTGTGCCACCACGCCTGGCTGAGGCTTTGAAAATTTAAAAAGTAAAAAGAAACCTCGGTGATACAGTGCTTGTCTTGTATGCTCAAGGCCCTGCCTTCAATTAAAAAAGAATAAGGGACTGGAGAGATGGCTCAGCAGTTAAGAGCACTGGCTGCTCTTGCAGAGGACATGGGTTAAATTCCCAGCACCCATATGGCAGCTAACAACTGTCTGAAACTCCAGTTCCATGGGATCTGACATCCTCTTCTGACCTCCGCAGCATTGCATGACACAGGTGCACTTACATGCATGTGGGCAATACACTCATAAACACAAAACAAAAATAATAAATATTTTTTTAAAAGGAATAAAATCCTGGTCCCTCTGGTCCCACTGATGTGAGTTTTCGAGGACACTCATGTTCATGGAGCCAGTGAGGACAGCATGGCTGCCAGGTGCTGGGCGCAGGAAGAAGAGGGGAGTTTAATGGGGACAGAGTTTTAGGCAGAAAGATGGAGTTGTTCTAGAGATAGATAAGGCTGGTGCATAACAATGTCACTGTACTTACTGCTGCTGAAAGAGGCACTTAAAATGATTAAAATGGAGCCTGGCATGGTAGCCCAGTATACCTTTAATCTCAGCACCGTAGAGGTAGAGGCACATCTTTGAGTTCAAGGCCAGCCTGGTCTACACAGTGAGACCTTGTCTTAAAAAAATAAAAAAGATGTTTAAAATGGCAAATCTTAAGTGTATTTTACATAACAAAGAAAGAAAAAGAAATGAAATTCCCATTCTGGGCTGTGCTTCTGGGAGACTCAACTTATAAAACAATTATTACAGCCTGTGTGTTAAGGAGGGAAGCAGGCTCTGGTATGGTAAAAAGCCCTGCCTCTCAGCTTATTAGGAGGATTCAGGTGAGTAATGAGATACGTAGAAGAGTGTCCTCCCCTGTAGAGCTATGTGGGGCCAAGACATGTGGCCTCAACTGAATTACACCCTGATACTCACAGCTCAACCTAAAAGAAGTGTTTACTGGTCAGCAGGAGCAAAGAGATTTCTATGTGATTTTCTGTGCTTCTTTAAAAAGTTTATTATTTTTATTTTATGTGTAGGAATGTTTTGCTTGCATGTGTATAAGTGCACAGTGTGTGTGCAATACCTGCAGAGGCCAGAAGAGGGCATCAGATCCCATGGAACTGGAGTTCGATGGTTACTAGCTGCCATGTGGGTGCTAGGAACCCAGCCCAAGTCCTCTGCCAGAGCAGCCAGTGTTCTTATACTGAGCCATCTCCCCAGCCCCATCATTTTATAATCTTGAAATAGTTCAATGGAATGTGAAGAGGCGGGAGAAATACCAGGAGCAGGCTTCAAACTCATCCACCCTGCCCCACACTCAGTCCCTTTCCAAGCCTAGCCTTGCTAAGGAGTGGAGAGTCGGGTAGTTAACAAATTACTGTAATTGCACAAATATATTTGCTAGAAGTTCCCCAAGAAGGGCAGCTTCCCTGTACTTCTAAAATAAACACTCCATGACAGAGCACCAGTGAGTCTGCACAGGTCTACAAAATAATGCAATAGTTAACAGGATGTGGCTCAGTTGGCAGAGTACCTGCCTAGCATGCATGGGTCCCTGGGTTCAAGTCCCAGCATAAGCTCAGTGTGGTGGTACACTCCCATCATTCCAGCACTCTGGAGGTAGAGGCAGGAGGACCAGAAGTTCAAGGTTATTCTTAGCTGTATGGTGAATTCAAAGCTAGCCTGGGTTGTATGAGACCCTGTCTCAATATAGCAGTAGTGGTAGTAATAAAAACAACAGTTTCTACTTAGACATTTCTCTCTTTTTAGCCTCTTTAAACCATGCGTTCATTTTGCTCTCCAGCTGCACATATGGCCCCTTTAATATTCATAACATTTTTAAAAGTCTTATAGAAATGAGCTTCTGCCAGGCATGGTGGCACATACTTTTAATCCCAGCACTCAGGAGACAGAGGCAGGCAGATCTCTGTGAGATCTAGGCCAGTCTGGTCCACATAGCGAGTTTCAGGCCAGCCAGGACTAAGTAGTGAGACCTTGTCTTAAAAGAAATGAGTCACTCACACTGAGTAGTGCTCTCCCCTGGGGCTGTGAGGTGGAGCTGGTGCTATGACCAGGGTGGCAGGACAGCCAGAGTTTTGTGTTTGGGAGTGAGAAGTTTGGAAGGGGACAGGCCATTTTGTCCTGAGTCCCAGACAGAGAAACTGCTGCTTAAAGAGACCATGGTCTTCCCCCTGGAGTAATGAGAAATAGCAGTTTGGACTAGTGTGGTGGTACGTAACTCTGAAGCACTTGGAGGCTGATGCAGGAGGATCTAGACTTGAAGGCCAGCCTGGACATAGTGAAACCTTTTCTTTAAAATAATGGAGGGAGGGAAGAAAGGAAAGGAGGAAAATGAGGAAGGAAGAGGAGGGAGGGAGGGAAGGAGGGAGGGAGGGAAGGAGGGAGGGAGACAGTTTGAAGGAGTGAGTTACATAGCACAGGGCCTGTGGCATCTCAAGCTCAAATGCCTTCAGGGCATTTGAGACAAATAGCAAAAGACTCTTAGGGCTAGAGGTAATTTCTAGAAAAGGAGACTAGGCAGCAATGGAGTGTATGTCCTAGCCCAAGTCAAGAGAACTGGGAATTTGACTTTTCATGTGAATTCTCCTCATTAAAGTTTTGGGCATTCTCTTAAATTAAAGCAAAACAAAAACTGAGCAACTTTTCTTATGCCTAGTGAAAGCTTCATAACCCAATTGTTACTTCTGTTATACACAGATAGCTGAGTCTAAAATCTGAAGCAAGTGGTCCTGCACTGCACAAAAGCATACCACGCAGTGATGGGCTTGTATATATAGCACAGTGATCCCAGGAGGTCAGAATGCCTCACAGCTGTCTTAGTTTGTGTATGCACACACTCTGATGTTTACACAAGTAGAAAATTGCTAGGTGACACATTCCTTCTAAACAGCATTCAGGCCCAGAACAAAAGACACCCATTCTCCTGTGAATAACGACCTCAAGTGCTGTGCAGTGCCCAACCTGCCTGACTCTATGTGGGGGCCCTGATAGATAGCTTCTAAACTTTCCATTACCTTTTCTTCTGATCAACCAACTCCAAAGAACTGCCAACCCTCCCTACCGAACTCTAGATGGCGAGAAAAAGCTTCTCACCTGTGTTGGGTGGGAGATCTCCACAGCAAGGGTGTCTGGCAAGTGCTAGCCATCTTGCTTACGTTTGCTTCTCTCTAGGGTGGTGAAATTCCGTCGCACAGGAGAGAGCGCAAGGTCAGAGGATGATACAACTTCAGGAGAGCATGATGTTCAGATCGAGGGGGTCCGAGTGGGCCTAGAAGCAGTTGAACTGGATGATGGGGCAGCTGTGCCCAAGGAGTTTGCCAACCCCACTGATGGTAAGAGAGCTCATAGCCAAAGTATCAGCCTGGCACCCAGGTTGCCTCCCTGGGTAGTATTTTCAGAAAGTTCTTATAAGGGGCAGGTGGGAGGGCACAGAGGGCCCAAGGTGACAGTGGCAATGGGCTGTGTCTACATGGCCTGCTTCAGCAGGTGAGGTTACATCCCAATCCCTGCCTTTACATCATTGCACACCTGACTGAGAACAGCAGCAACAATGGTGGTGATGACAAAGATGATCATGAAAGTGAAGGTGATGATGGTGGTGGTGGTGATGATGGGGGTGATGAAGGTGATGATGGTGGTGGTGGTGATGATGAGGATGATGATGGTGATGATTGTGGTGATAATGATGGTTGTGATGGTAATGATGATGTTGATGATGAGGGTGATTATTATGATGATAGTCATGATGGTGGGGTGATGGATGGTGATGGTGGTGGTGGTGATGATGGGGGTGATGATGGTGATGGTGGTGATGAGGATGATGGGGGGTGATGGTGGTGGTGATGAGGATGATGATAGTGATGATTGTGGTGATAATGATGGTTGTGATGGTAATGATGATGGTGATGATGAGGGTGATTATTATGATGATAGTCATGATGGTGGGGTGATGGATGGTGATGGTGGTGGTGATAATGATGATGGTGATGTAGTGGTGATTCTGGTGAAGATGATGGAGATGACAATGTAACAAAGATAATGGGGATGCTATTGGTTATGATGACAGTGGTGATGGTGGTATGGGAGCAGCTGACATTGAGTGAGGATTTTTTCTGTTCCAGGCACTTTCTTATTCCACTCCATATGCAACTTGTTTAACCCAATAGTTTAAACCAGAGCTGTTCCCACCATCTTCCCCATTTTCCAGATGAGGTGGCTGAGTGCAGGATTCAGTGTCTTGCCCAAGGTTACGCAGCTAGGAATTATCCAGGCTGAATTTACATCCAGGTAACCTGATCTCAGAGTGCACCTTCTTACCTGCGACTTCGTGCTGTCTCTGAACAGAGTTGGCCAAATAAGGGACCTGACATGGAACTGTGGGACCTGTCCCAAATGCCCCTCACCATCTGATGCTGATGGGTGAAAACATTTATGGAGGTCTCCTGAAAGGTCCCAGGTTCCCAACAAGAGAGAATGAGTGACTTCAACCCCATTGCTGGCAGATCTAGGAAGGTCATGACAGCAGAGGTTGGGAGCAGAGGCTTTATTCCCTCCTTGATCTGGCTCAGCTTCCAGCTTGCATTGTCCCAAGGCAGGTCCACGATCTGCTCCATAATGGTGCTGGGCCTAATCTCACAGAGTTGTGATAGGATTGAGAGAAACAATGCACCCCAACTTCTTGGCACAGCACCTGGCAAACAGGGAGTGCTCAGTGAACATCCCATATTACTGTTGTTCTTTTTTTTGCTTTATTTTTAAAATTTTTTTTGTTTTTTCTATTTTGGTGCTTTTGACTCAGGATTTAAAAACTGTAACAGTGAAGACAACAGCAGTTGGTTGGAGCAAGCATCCCAACGTTCTACAGTGTGGCTAGGATTCGTACATTTTTTAAATAGTCATTCCAAGTATCCCTGGTTATAGGAAGTCCCTCCCAAAAGCCACCCCCAAAAGGAGGATGGCCCAGTTCACACCCTGAGTTCATGCAGGGGAGGCGACAGCATTGCTTCTGTGTAAATTATGTACTGCAATTTTTTTAAAATCTGCTTTAATTCTTTTTTATTTTTGTTTTTATTTTTGAATGGTCAGCATCTTGCCCCCCCTTTTTTTGGTCCCCCCAACTTGATGTATGAAGGCTTTTGGTCTCTTTGGGAGTGGGTTAAGGAGTGAGGCAGCAGGGCTTACCTGTACACTGACTTGAGACCAGTTTAGTAAAAGTACACATCTTTAAAAAAAAAAAAGAAATGGCCCAATTTCTAGACGCATATGACCTACCAAAAATTACTGCTATTCTTATTGGTGATGCTCTAGGACTCATTCTGTGTTCTTTTCAGTACTATTGCTGGGCGAGCACAGCTAGCTCACATTTCTGGAAAAAAGCATGGTTGACATAAAGGCCCATGGTTGAAATCCCAAAGACGTGATGTTTCCAACAGGGACAGAACTTTTCCAAGCAGCCCATGGAAGGGACACCATCATACTCCTTTGGTCTTTTAAATTTTTAAATGGACTTTTAATTTTGGAAATATTTTAGATTTACAAAAAGTATAAAGATAATATATTAGGTTTCCATGACTATAACAAAACCATCAATAAAATCGAGAGATGGCTCAGAGGTTAAGAACACCGGTTGTTCTTGCGGAAGACCGGGGTTTGAATCCCAGCACCCACATGGCAGCTAACAACTGTCTATAACTCCAGTTCCAGGGGATCCGACAGCCTCTTCTATCCTTCTCGGGTAGGGGGTGTCCACCTCAGGTGTTGAGGGGTCCACCTCGACACGGGTGCACTTACCTACATGCAGGCAATAAACCATACACATAAAATAAAAATAATTTAAAAAATTAAAAATAAAATCAACTTTAAAAGAGGCAACAGAGCTGGAGAGATGACTCAACAGTTAAGAGAACTGGCTGCTCTTGCAGAGGACCCAGGTTGGGTTCCCAGCACCCACGACAGCTAACAACCATTCGTAACTCCAGTTCCAAAGGGTCCAACACCCTTTTCTGGCCTCTGTGGGCATTGCACAGCACAGGTGAACTTAACATACATGTAGGCACGACACTCATATACATAAAATTAAATAAATTACAAATTTTTTTATAGGGGAAATATTTCTGAGTGTGATGGTGTACCTTTGTAATCTCAGCACTTGGGAAGTGGAAGTAGGAGGATCAGGAGTTTAAGATCATCCTCTCTTGGCTACACAACGAGTTCAAGGCCAACCTGGACTGCCTGAGACCCCATCCCAAAAATCAAGCAAAAAAGGAAGAGTTTATTTTGTCAGTTTCAGAAGATTCAGTTCATTGTAGATCGGCTCTGTTGCTTTATTGTGGAAAGGCATATCAGGCAGGGTATGCGGTGGAATACATTGCACAGCTTATGGTGACCAGGAAGGGAAAGCATTGGGAAAGGGCTCAGTCCCAGTATCCCCTTCAAGGACACTCCAATGTCTGAGTGTCCTCCATCCATGCAGAACCTTTAAGGCATGCCATGCCTTTCAACAATGAAGGCTGAAGGCTGAGCCTTTAATACAGGAGTCTTTGGGGAGCCGTTCAGATCCAAACTAGAGCAGAGCCTGCAGACAGTTTCCATGTACCCTTGACCCAGCCTCCCTTTAAGGATAACATCTTTGTTAAAACCAAGGCATTTTTGGCAACCACAAAAGGACATAAATAAAATGAAGACATCAGCTGGTCCAGAATACAAGCTGGCATGCCACATGATGTTTGGTCTATTGATGTTCTTCAAAATACTAGCTTCTATAATTATATATAATTTTTTCTGAGGACAAAAATAACATGCATTTGTTTGGAAAACAGTCATACATTATAGAGTCATCTAAAGTGGGTACATGAGTGTTGTTCTAAGGTAATTCTGTTGAGCTGAGCATAGAGGCTCATACCTATAATCCCAGGACTTAGGAGGCTGAGACAAGAGGATTGTGAGGTTGAGGCCAGCCTAGGCTATATAGTGACACCTTGTCTCAAACAATATCATCAACGACAGATGATCCTGTTAATAGTTTGTAAGGCATCATTTGGGCTTCCTTGTCTGCACACACACATACACACACACACACACACACACATGCACACGCACACGCACCTCTGCATATACCTCATTTTATCAGAAAGATGCCTCCTCTGATACATAGCCTCCATGACCTGAATTGTCTACTTAACAATTTGTGTGGCTGTCTTTCCTTCTTAGTGTGATAGGATTCTGCTTTTTAAAATATTTTATTTATTATTTTTATTTTCTGTGTATGAGTGTATTGTCTACATGTGTGTAAGTGCACCCATGTTGTGCAATGCCTGCCAAGGTTAGAAGAGGTCATTGGATTCTCCTGGAACTGGAGTTATGGACAGTTGTTAGCTACTATGTAGGTGCTGAGAACTGAACCTGGTCCTCTGCAAGAGCAACCAGTGCTCTTAACCACTGAGCCAACTCTACAGTCCCGGATTCTGCCTTTTTTTTTTTTTTTTTTTTGGTCTTTTTGAGACAAGGTCTCTCTATAGCTGCAGCTGGCTTGGATTCAATAATGGATACCAGGCTGGCCTCGAACTCACAGAGATCCTCCTGCCTCTGCCTCCAGAGTGCTGGGATTAAAGGTGTGTGCTACCACGACTGGCTCAGATTCTGCTTTTTAAAGAAAGAATTTATGGGACTAAATAGCTTAGTGGTTAAGAGAGCTTACTGCTCTTGCAGAGGACCAGAGTTTGGTTCCTCACATCAGGCAGCTCACAACCTCCTATAACTCTAGCTCCATGGGTCTGTCACGCTCTTCTGGCCTCTGTGGGCATCTACACTCACATGCACACACATAAAATAAAAAATAAATCCTTTTAAAAAAGCGTTTCTTAAGCCGGGCATGGTGGCGCACACCTTTAATCCCAGCACTCTGGAGGCAGAGGCAGGAGGATCTCTGTGAGTTCGAGGCCAGCCTGGTCTACACAGTGAGTTCCAGGACAGCTGGGGCTACAGGGAGACCCTGTCTCAAAAAGACAAAAAAAAGCATTTCTTTCTGATTATAAAAGTAATAAATTATAAAAGGAAGAAAGGTTAAGTATCTTGTGATTTCTCCGTTCTCACATCCAGACAACAAAAATAAAGTCATCATTTAAAGTTATGTATTATATAACAGATGCATATTCACAAATGAAATGAATATATTTTCAAGAACAGAACTGTGCTAAATATGTTGTTGTCCATTTTGTTTTTCAAAATTAGCAATGTACTATATACATCTTTCTGCAAATGGACATTCTTTTTAACATTTGGGTCCTATTTCATGGTGCATGCTTAATCATTTATATGTAATGTATATCATAATCTACTTAGCCAAACTGCTCTTCTAAGCCTTCTGGTTTGCCAGTCTTCCCTGTTATTAACAATGCCCCACTAGGCAGATGCCTCTTCACACTTGCTGACCTGTTTTCCTAGCTAAGTTCTAGCAGAACCATGGGCTACAATTAGCAAGTTGGTGAGGGATCCCCACACTAGGACAGACACAGGTGCTGATCCTTGCTCCCCCTTCCTCCTTTCCAGATACCTTCATGGTGGAAGATGCAGTGGAAGCCATTGGGTTTGGAAAATTTCAGTGGAAGCTGTCTGTTCTCACCGGCTTGGCATGGGCAAGTATTTCTGGGAGCATCGCTTCACATGCACTCTAGAACCACCTCCACACCTGCTGCTCGGCTGGGTATCCATGTCCCGTGAAGAATGGCACAGTTCTCTCCACATATAGGCTGATGTGGGTGATAGCCCAGGTCCATCCTGGGTGGGGATTGGGTGGGGGTGGTTGACCATCATCCTCAGAGAGGAGAGGATTCTGCAAGTGATTCTCTGCCCTTAGTGACTTGGGACTACTGTGGACTACCGTGTCAGGTATATATATCCCTCCCTAGGAAAACAGGCACAGATAAGAGTTTGTCTTCTGGGTTGGGGATGGTTGTCAATTCAGTGGCAAAGTGCTTGCTTAGCTATGCACAGGCTCTGGGTTCCCATTTCCTAGAACTGCAAAAAAATTTTCTTCTGATTCAAAGCGTTCGAAATCCCTGTTGAGAACCCCTCACAGCACTGTGACCAAAAGCTCCCTAGATCCCTAATCCAGCTGCACTTGCTCTTCCTAGCATGGTATGAGAGGCCATCTGAGCACATGTTTTTCAAATGAAACATCAGTTTCCCTATCATTTCTCTCACTAATTTGAAATGCATCCTTATTGAGCCCCAGAATCCCACGGTCTGCTTTTCATTTTCTGATACTCTGTCTAGTCCTGTAGAGACACTTGGGACTGGAGAGATGGATCAGCAGTTAAAAGCACTGGCTACTCTTGCAGAGGACACAGGTTTAGTTCCCTGCACCCACATGACAGTTCACAACCATCTATAACTCTAGTTCCAGGGGGTCCAACTCCCTCTTTTGGCCTCCACGGACATTGCACACACATGGTTGCACTACATACGTGTAGCCAAACACTCATGCACATAAAAATAAAATAAATAAATCAAAAAATTTAAGTATGGAGACATTTAGTAACTGGGGCTTCCTAGTTTATTTTACTATATTAAAGCATTGTGCTGTGTACTAAATATACAGACAATTCTACATGAACACATCGTGATCTACCAGCCAAAGGTAAATGAGTATATCACTGCATCGGAAAAAAAAAAATCTCTTGGGGCTGGAGAGATGGCTCAGAGGTTAAAAACACTGGCTGTTCAAATCCCACATGGCACAGCTAACAACTGTCTGTAACTCCAGTTCCAGGGGATCCAACAGCCTCTTCTGTCCTCAGGCATTGCACGACATGGGTGCACTTACCTACATGCAGACAATACATGCATACATGTAAAATAAAAATAATAAATAAAAAAAATTTTAAATCTTTTTGTCTCCATGAAAATTTGGGCTCAGATTTTAGAAATATGTTTTCTCATTTCATCTGAGGACTATCTTTATTTCTTAATTATTAAATTTTTATTTATTTTGTGCATGTGTGTAAATGTGTGTTATGTGTATGGTTACATGTGCATGCTGTGATACCCATGTGGAGGTCAGAGGACAACTTGTAGGAGCGGGTTCTCTCCTTCTACCTTTGGGTCTCAGGGATTGAACTTAGGTCGTCAGGCTTGGCAGCGAGCTCCTTTACCTGATGTGCCATCTTCCCAGCCAAAGGTGGTGCACACCTTTAATCCCACACTTGGAAGGCAGAGGCAGGCAGATTTCCATGAGTTCAAGGCCAACCAGGTCTACAAAATGAGACCCTGATTCAAGAGAGAAAAAATAATAAAAGACAAAAAGAAACATTGCTGCATATAGTGGTGTATGTCTATAATCCCAGCGCTTGGGAGGAGGCAGGAGAATTGCTGGTTTGGTCCCTGGGCCCCACCTAGTAGAAGTTGTCTTCTGACTTCCACATATGCTCTGGCACATGCAACACATGTACACAGTAAATAATAAATAAATAAATAAAAATTTAAAAGCATAAAGAAATGAATTTTAAAAGCAAGCAACATAGAAACACGCAAGGAACATGAGTGGTGTGTGTGTTGGGTCCTGCACGGCAGCCCACTAGTTTAACTACTACAGCCTTGTGTATGAGAATGTTTGGTCAGGCACTGGACAGGTGGTGAAAGGGTTGACCGTGTTCTCTGGGGTTCTGCCTCCTGCCTCACAGTGCCTGTTCTCCTCACAGATGGCCGACGCCATGGAGATGATGCTCCTCAGCATCCTGGCCCCGCAGCTGCACTGTGAGTGGCGGCTGCCCAGCTGGCAGGTGGCGCTGCTGACTTCGGTAGGTGACCTGGCAGCTCGCTCTGGTTGCATGCAGTTCCAGTTCCCAGGGTGTCCTACGGGGTGGCCCACCTCGTGCTGTCAGGACTCTGCAGGAAAGACCCAAGCCCTGGGTGAGAACACTGTGACTTCAGCTTCCTTTAGTCCTCTCCCTCTGTGATGTACCTGGCAGATTAGTAGCCAGTTCTGCCCCATCCAGGGCCCTCGCTCACTGAGGACTGTAGAGAACTTGGAAGCCACCTATGCATGTCCCTTTACAAGCCCCACCTTTCCCGGCTGCAGACAGGAGATGCCACCCTTCCTGTCAGGAGGGTGACTTGAAGAGTAGAAACAGGGCCTCCCGTAGTGAACGTTCAGTAACTGGCTGTAGTGAGGTCTCTGGCACAAGACTCTAAGGGTGAGTAAGGCAGAACCCTGAAATTTTGCTTTTGTAATTCGGCACCAACCTTCTACAAGGGAGGGGATGGCCAGGCCAGTGAGAGGGCAGCCACCATGTTCACAACAGCTAATGTTTGCAGAACACTTGCCGTGCAAAGAGCTTGAGCCTATGGAATGCAGGGTATGTAGAAGTAACTTCAGGGAGGGAGAGTTTAATCTTGGCTCATGGTTTAAGGGGTTATAGTCCAGCATGGTGGGAAGTCATGGTGGCAGGATCTGGAGGCAGCTGGTCACATGGCATCCCCAGTCAGGAAGCACAGAGAGATGAATGCCGGTGCCAGCTGGCTTTCTACTTTTTATTCAGGCTGCGTTATGAAAAGATGCCATCCGTTTTTAGGGTATATCCTTCCACCTCAATTAACCCCATCTAGAAGCTCCTTCACAGCCATGCCCAGAGGCTTGTCTCCTGGGTGATTCTAGAGCCTGTAAGTTGACACTCACTATTAACCATCACTGCAAGGTTCCATGGTGCCTTTCAATCCTCATAGCTCCAAGCATTAGCACTGTTACCCATGGAGAAAAATGAGTCCCAGAGAGGTTAAGCCACTCTTTCCAAGTCACACAGTCCGGTGAGCAGCCAAAAGCAGTCATTAACTAGGGATGGATCTCAGAGTGCTATGCGAGATTTATTATTATTATTGTCTTGGCTGTTTGGGAACGGTGTATGCAAAAAACAGGGCTGATTTGAGCAATAAGGTTGTGGCTCAGTGGAAGTCACTGAACAGCATAAGTTCCTACATTTTTGTGGCTGAGGCTTCTCTGAGAAGTGTGGCCTTGAGTGAAAAATGGGGATGCTAACGTAGCTCTGTTCTTCTGAGAATGGGCAGTAGTCTATTCACTGCCTGGCTCGTGGCGGGGGCTGAGTGAATTAGACTTCTTTCTCTTACCCCGAATTCCCACTGGAGAGTAATTGCAGGTCTGTGTTTTTGTAATACAGGGCCTTGCTGGTGTCTTTGTGGTTGGTTTATAATAAGCACAATTCATAATAAGTATGGTGTGCCAGGCTTTGTGCAAAGGGCTCTGCATAGATTATTTCTTTAACCCTCTCGACCCGGTAGAAAGGGTTCTACTATTAATCTCATTTCTATAGAGAAGGAAACCAAGGCTTAGAGAAGTTGGTAACTTGATTCAGGTCCCAAGACCAGTAGGATGTAGAGCCACAATTGGAACTTGGTCCTACAGAGATGATTCCTGCCATGCAAGTCTAAGGACCTGAGCTTGGATCTTGTGCGGGACAGCTTTAATTGTCAACTTGGCACACCTGAGTGGAGGGAGCCTCAACTGGGGAACTGCCTCCATTGGGCTCACCTGTGGCCATGTCTGCGTGGCATTTTCTTGATTGTTGAGTGATGTGGGAGGGCCCAGCCCACAGTGGGTGGTGCCACCCCTGGGCAGTTTGGTCCTGTATTGTATAAGAAAGCAGGTTGAGCATGGGCCAGGGAGCAAACCAGTAAGCAGTGTTCTTCCAGTGCCTGTGCTACAGCTCCTGCCTCCAGGTTCCTTCCCTGAGGTCCTACCTTGGGCTCCGCCTCCAGGTTCCTTCCCTGAGGTCCTACCTTGGGCTCCCTCAGTGATAAACCATGACCCAGGAGATGTAAGCCAAATAGACCTTTTCCTCCCCAAATTGGTATTAGTGAGAGTATTTTGTCACAGCAATTGAAAGCAAACTAGAACAGAGTCCCATTGTCCATCTAGGCAAGACAGCACTTGCCTTATAGGTGCTGGAGGCAGGGGCAGAAACAGGAGGATCCCTGGGGCTTGCTGACCATCTGGTCTAGCCAACTGATGAGCTCCCAATTCAGTGAGAGACCTGACCTCAGAAAACAAGGTGGACAGTAATTGAGAAAGACACTCGCTGTTGACACTAGGTCTCCAACACACACACACACAAACACAAACACATGTACACACATACATGTGAACCCACATCTATATGGGGGGGGGAGAGAAACATAGGCCCGGCACATTCACACCCTGTTCACAGCTTCTGCTCTGGGCTACTTTGCTCCCATGCTCCCATATAGAGCTAGAATCCTGTGGTAGAGTTTTCAACGGGAAAGTTAGAAGAGGACTGCAGGAATTTGTCTAAGTGAAGCATACAAGGAGAGGACTTGCACAGCTTTGCTGTCACAGAAAACACTAGAGTTTGCTGGGGCTGTAGTTCAGTGGTAGAACACTTGTCTAGCATTTGTAAGGCCCTGGATTCCATCCCCAGAATAGAAAGATAGGAAGAGAAGGAGGAGGAGGAGGAGGAGGAGGAGGCGGCAGCTGTGCATGGTGGTACACACTTGTAATCCCAATGCCCTGGAAGCTGGGACAAGAAGATTGTGAGTTCGAACTCAGCTGAGACTGTATAGTAAGTCCCTGTCTCAGAAACAGAAACAATAAAAAAAGACATGAAAACTTTTAAAAAAGAAAAGAAACAGTGTTTGCTTAGTGACAAACTTATCAACTCTATCACTCTGGAGTATGATGTCACAGTTTGGTTTGCTGTTTTCTTTCTCTTGCTCTCTGTGGCTAATAGAAACTGTCTTTCTGCCCACAGGTGGTCTTTGTTGGCATGATGTCCAGCTCCACACTCTGGGGAAACATCTCAGACCAGTACGGCAGGAAAACAGTAAGGCACCTCTTCTGAGTCATGTCCTTGCTGTTCCAATCACCGTGGTGTTGCATGTAGCACTGCTTCCCTCCTCTGATTTAGCATGGGGGACTATGAATTCTCAGGGGCTCAAGAAGGTACATCTGAGAGACCAGAAGATGCTCTTGGTGCCAACTTGGGTCCCTTACATGAGGCTGGGGCAGGCAATGGATGGTAGATGCCATCAGCTTTATTTCCCTATGGGAGTGGGCCTTTACTCAATTCACCTGGTCGGAACTCTGGCACCTTTCATAGGAAGCCATCTGCCTTTCCTAGCCTGCCTTACATTTCAATTCCCCTGCCAGCATCACTGCCTAGTTTAACTATTTGTGATGGGCACGGTGACGCACATCTGCAATCCTAGCATTCAAGAGACTCAGGCAGGAGGATTCCCATGAGTCTGAGACCTGTCTGAGCTAGACAGAAACACACTGTCTCAAGCAAAACAGAATACTGTTTGTACTAGAAATTTTATGTCAAGGTCTGCTTTAAGGGGGTGTCAGGCATTATATGAAATGCCTTTACAAGCAGGAGGAAGGGAATGGCTGGAAATTCCTAACCCTTTTTATCTGATAGTGTTCTTGCTTGATTAGACTGTACTCGGCTCTTTGATGCTGTCGGTATATGAAGCCCCTGTTCTCCTGCCTGTGAACTTGGGCCTGAAGAGCTCTGTAAAGTCACCACTGATGCTATTCCAGTCGTTCTCTGACAGCTTTGTCATCCCTCCCCAGGCTCTCCTCAGCGACCTGCAGTTTCTCCCTAGGCAGGTGGTGGTGAGATGGTGTGAAGTCAGGTGAACCGGGAGGCACATTCCTAACTAGCCACTCCTGTCTGTGTGACCTTGTATACACAGAGAACTGAACACAAGAGAACTGTACACAGGAGAACTGAAATCTCCAAGCATCAGCTTCCTTTTAAACATGAAGGGAAAATACCAGAATATACACAGTATAAATGGAGGAGATGGTGTGAACTGCTTCACACAGTGCATTCACTTAGACAAACTCCCACATACATACATAAAAACTTTTAAGAAAGCATTGACGTGGGGCTGGAGAGCTGGTCCAGCATTGAAGAACACTTGCTACTGTTCCAGAGGACCCGAGTTCTGTTCCAGCACCAATATCAGTGGTTCACAGCTGCCTGTGACTTCAGTTCCAGGGGATTTGGGCACCAAATCTCTTCTGATCTCCGAAGGCACCTGCACACTTGTGGCCTCAGTGCCTTGTTTATATCAGAGGAGGTTGTGTTAGATAATAGCTGATATTAATAACTACCATTTGCTAAATTCCCCAAACTGAAGGGCAGATGTTTATATTTTTGTCCCCAAGCCTATTCCAATGATCTAATAGTATACTAGTTTCATTGTCACTCTGACCAAATTGTCATTTATTTCTGGACAGGAAGTAGAGGGGACAGGAAGGGACAGGGAACAAGGCATAACCTCCAAAGGCATGGCCCTGTGACCTACTTCCTCCAGCTAGGTGTCACCTCCTAAAGTTTCCAGAACCTTCCAAAAATAGTGCCTGCTGCCAGCTTAGGATCAGGCCTTCATATCCAAACCTTAATAAACTTTAACAAATAGTAACATGGATTTGAGTCAGAAGCTTCTGTGGGATAGCACTGTGATTGATTAGCAGTGTCTGCCATGGGCACAGGACATGGGTGTGGAGTGAGTCAGGTAAATGCTATAAAGAAGGTCGCCATAACTGGTTTGTTACTGAGCTAGTCCCAGGACCTACCACAGTACTTGGTGCATCATAGACATTCAACACACTTTTTTGTTTTGTTTTGTTTTTTGTTTTTGGTCTTTTTGAGACAGGGTCTCCTGTAGCCACAGCCGGCCTGGAACTCACTATATAGACCAGGCTGGCCATGATTTCACAGAGATCCACCTGCCTCTCAAGTGCTGGGACTAAAAGCTTGTGCCACCACACCTGGCTTCAACACATACTTTTTGTGTTTTGTTTTGTTTTCTGCACTGGGAACTGAACCCAGTACCTTGTGCTTGGCAAACACTCTACCACTGAGTTACATCCCCTGCCTTTTCTTTACAGGGCTTCATTATGTGTCTCGGGATAGCCTTAAACTGAATATATAGACCAGACTATCCTCTTGCCTGTTCTTCCCAAGTGTGAGGCTTACAGGCATGCGCTGTCATGCCAGACAATGACTAGTTCATGGGTGATGGAGATAGATGAGAATCTGAGCTTCTTGTGTCTGTTTTCTGTGCTTTCTTGGCCCTCTAGACCAGCATCTGACTTTACTGATGAATGCTGGTTTTATTTCCATTTTAAAATTTTATTGTGTGCATGATGTGTATGGGAGGGCACAAATTCCATGGTGCACATGTGGAGCTCAGAGGTCAACTTTGTGGAGTCAGTTCTCTCCTTCCACCTTTTTGTGGGCTCTAGGGATTGAACGCAGGTCTCCAGGCTTGTACGGAAAGTGCTTAACCCACCGAGCCATCTCTCCAGCCCACGAATGCTCTTTATTTACTCTAATAGTGCATGGCCGTCATTAGCTGAGTTCTCAGAAGACCGTGCTCATTCTGCCACTTAGGGAGACAGTTTGTATCTCTGTGCCTAGAAGGAAACTCTGTAGAATAGAGAGGAGAAACGTCTAAGTTTGGATATTAGTTTTTAAAAATCATTTAATGTTGGGTATGGTGGCCCACGCCTTTAATCCCAGCACTTGGGAGGCAGATGCAGGCAGACGTTTGTGAGTTCGAGGCCAGCTGGAGCTACAGGGAGACCCTATCTCAAAAAGACAAAAAAAATTTTTTTTAATATTTTTATTGAATTTTTGTGGATTTCATACAATGCATCTTAATCATATTTAGTCCCCTCTTCCCTATCTATGGCCCTCAGAGCCTACCCACAGGGCCTCATGCATTTTGTCATATATGTTAAAGCCTATTGAGTCGTTTGTGTACCCAGATGTCTCTCAGTGTGAGTTCATACTGTTCAGCCTATCTAGCATCACTCCCTTAAAGAAGATCAATAGTCTCTTACCTACCAATAGTTCCTCACCAGTGTTGTGGCTTCCTGCCCACTTCCTCAGTTCTATGCTGATTTCTGTCTGATTGAGGTTGCATGGGTCTTGTGCATGCTGTCACCATTGCTGTGAGTTCATATGAGCGAGGTCCCAGGCGGCTGTAAGACTCTGTTTTCTTTTGGTCATGCACCTCTTCCCCTGGCTCTTACATTTACCTACTTATTTATTTAATGTGCGTGTGTGTGCCTGCATGTGTGAGGCGTATGCCACATGCACATGTAGAGGAAGAGGACAACTCGGGAGAGTCAGTTCAGTCCTTCCACCACGTGGTTTTCAGTGACCAAACTCTGTCATCAGGCTTGCTGACCAACACCTTTACCCACTGAGCTACTTTGCCAGTCCAAGAGTTTGAATTTTAAAAAGATTTGTAGATGGGTTTTCAATAATGACATTTATCAAATCTTGTGGATTGTAACCCTATTTTGGCACCTTCTAGAACACTGGTTATCAATGCAGGGAAGGAGGACACTTGAGTATCTATGGAGGCTTTGGGTTGTCAACTAAAGGAAGGTACAAAACTGATATTTCATGGGTAGAAGCCAGGAATCCTGCCTAGTCTTCCATAATGCACAGGACATCCTGCACCTCAAAGAATAAACCTGTCCAACATGTGAACAGTGCTGAGGTCGAGGGTCCCAGCCCTGGAGACAATATGTTGGCCTTCCAACATTGCTGATTTTTGCAGGTAGTTCCACAGCCTCTTTATCACCTGGGACTGCTCGACTTCATTTCAATACTTATGTGTGCAGTGTGTTTTGGCAAATAAAATAAGGACATCTCACTGTGGGCAGCAAGGGCTGGAGCCAGGCTGCCTGTGTTCGGACCCTAGCTCTTCCCCTTGTAGAGCCTCGAGGGGCCTGAGTGTTCTCATATATGAGTGGGATGGCTCAGCCACTCCCTAAGGCTATTTCGAGGAGTGAATGCCTTGCACAAAGCTCTTGGCACAGAAAATCATTTCATAAATGTCTGTTATTATTCTTACTGTTTGCCAAGCTCATGCCCATTCATAGCAAGCCAGCATTCAAATATGGGTGTCTATCTCCAGAGTCCATGTCCTTCATCCTGACCGTGGCTGCTGGCAGACAGACCTGCATTCTCCCCACAGAAATCAGCTGTATCGTTGTATATGCATCTGCCCCCAATAGATGAGGCTACAAGGAGGGCCGCCCACAGGGACTCTGCCAATTCTGCATAGACTGACTGAGTTCCACACCCAACATGCAGCTGGTTTGACCAGAGGGAAAGGAGAGATGTGTCCCCTGGTGACAGAGCTTCTCCCAGGTGGAATTCTGCTCAACTCCCAGAAGCAAGGACCAGGCTTGTAATTAGGAGGGTCTCCCCAGGGTCCCTCCAGGGGCCTGGGTGCATCAGGCAGCCTGCTAGCATCAGCAACCACTCCTCACTGGTCTTGGGCCATGTGGGAGATTTCCAGTTCCATGGAGGTGTCTGTTGTGTATCTTTGCCTGGGCCGCACATATGGCGTTAGGATTGTGAGAGACTTGGGTTTCTATGGAAGTTCCTATGGCCTGGGGATTTGTGGCACTACAGAAAGGTGAAGGTGATGGAGGGTGTGTGGCCCTGGGGTCAGGGAGATAAATACATCTGGATTCACAGGGTTCACATCTCAGTGTTTCTGTGGAGCAAGGCAACCTTGGGCAACCTCTCTGAGTCTGTTTCCCTGTTTGCAAATAAATGTAATAACAGAAACCCAAAGGGTGAATGGGAGAATTCAGTAAGAAAGTCTATGTATGGTTTGGGGTGCAGCTCAGTTGGATTCTATCCCCATCAATAAATAAAACTGGGTATGGGTGGACACACCTGTAATCCCAGTACTTGGGGAGCTGAGGCAGGAGACTCAGCAGTTACCTTGAGCTACCTAGCTAATTCAAGGCTAACTTGGGCTACATGAGGCTGTCTTTAAGAAAAGCTAAACAAGGGACTGGAGAAATGGCTCAGTGGTTAAGAACACTGGCTGCTCTTGTAGAGGACCTGGGTTTGATTCCCAGCACCCACATGTTAATTAACAACTGCCCCTAACGCCAGTTCTAGGGGATATGATACCCTCTTCCGATTTCCTCGGGCATTGCATGACATGGGTACACTTAGACACATGCAGACAATACACTCATATACATACAATAAAAATTTAAAAAGCAAAACAAAACAAAGTTTATATGATACATGTGGTATGTGCCAGTGCATGCTTAGAAAATGATAGACAGCAATTTACTGTAATTCGGGTTATGGTGTAGTGTAAGTCAGAAGTGGTATGCTGTCTTTTTGTTTATTTGCTTTTTTTTTTCAGATAGGGTCTGTGTGTGTATCCCAGGCTGGCTTCAAACTCATGATTCTCTTTTCCAGTCTCCCAAGTGCTGAGACTACAGACGTGTACCACCATACCTGGCTTTATGTTGTCTTTAAGGAAAATTTTATTTTCTGTATTTATTACTGTATTGTCTATATGTGTGTAAGTGTACCTGTGTCATGCAGTGCCCACGAAGGTCAGAAGAGGGTGTCGGGTCCCCTGGAACTGGAGTTACAAACAGTTGTTAGCTGCCCTGTGGGTTCTGGGAATCAAACCTGGGTCCTAGGCAAGAGCAGCCCATGCTCTTAATGGTTGAGCCATCTCACCAGTCCCCCTAATGGTAACTTTTAAATTAAAAAAAAATGGTGGTGTCAGGATGGAACCCAGGGGCACATGAGGCAAGCTCTGTAGTAATGGACCACACCCCATCTTGGGCTTGTAGCTTTACATGCGTGGGGCCCATGCCACCTGAGGTGCTGAAGGCTCACTGTAACTCTGTCTCCCTTTTCCGCAGGGGCTGAAGATCAGCGTGCTCTGGACCCTGTACTATGGCATCCTCAGTGCTTTTGCACCCGTGTACAGCTGGATCCTGGTGCTCCGCGGCCTGGTGGGCTTTGGGATCGGAGGGGTCCCCCAGTCGTAAGTAAATACTCTGGCAACTAGCCCACCCTCTGTATACACAGGTTCTACAACCTCAGAAATAAAAACATTCATGGGGGGAATTGACATCTACATTGAACATGTAGAGAACCCCCCTTGCCACTAGTCACTAAAGAATATACAGGAGCAAGTATTTGGATAGCAATTGTTTTATATTTGGTGTTGAGTTACCTAGAAATGGTTTATAATATGCGGGGAGGGGGTGAGTATGTTCTGTCAAATGCTACAACGTTTTATATGAAGGACTTGTACTTCCTCAGGTTTCAGTACCCTGAAGATACTGAGGGATGGCTATATGCCTTCATTGCTTTAGGGGCTTCTGGTACTTGGAGCCATGGCATAAGAGACAGCAGCAGGATTGTAGGTGTCCTTCAAATAACAGCACCACCACAGTATCCAAAAGGTTGTAAAAGTGAACTCTTAACAAAATATAAACCTAGTTCTGATGGCACGTTTCATATCCACACATCAGGCCACCAGCAAAAGTGTGCTGTTGGATCATGTGATCTACATTTTCCAGTGAAGGACACTGAGACTCAGAGAGTGAACTCCATGGTCCCAAACAACCCCTTACCACTTTTAGTGCAGCAGGTATTTTGGGCCACAGCAAAGCCTACAGGGCCCAGCTATGGACTCTTAGGAGGTGATGCTCCTGGCTGGTACAGAGGGAATGAGCCCTGATTCACTTGAACTAATCTGAGTGGTACAGTGCACCACCCACTGCCGTCCATCCCTTGCACCTCTCTGAGAAACACTTCTTGCTATGAGTACGTCCATCAGAATAGAGTTCCTCCAGAACTCAGGCCAGGCTCTCTCTCTGCAGACTTACCCAAGGATAGCCAGTGGGATGGACCACGGGCCCTGCTATGGCTGCTGGTCTCAAGACTGCCAAAGTTGACAACCCCCTCCACCACCCAGTCTAGAATCCCCTCACCTTTAGCTTGTGGGACTGCTGATATAGACAGTTCGTCTGGTGGGTGACCCAGACCTCATATGAGCTGGAGGGGGCTGAGCCTCTGGTCACCATGTGCATTCAATACTTCACTGAGCAGGAGAACCCCAAGAGACATCTGGGTGCTACCTGGGTACCCTGGTGGCATGTGATAGCTCTCTTTGCTCCTGAAGTTGTGATCAGTTTCTCTTATGGAATATAATGTCTCCTTTTTTGTTTGCTTATCTCATCAAACAAGGAGCCCAAAGTTACTAGGTAGCAGCAGTTGCTTAAAGTCTTATAGGACTTTTGACAGGGTGTAGTAGCTCACCCTTTCATCCTAGCACTCAGGAAGCAGAGATAAGAGAACCTCTGTGAGTTGGAGGCCAGCCTGGTCTACATAGTGAGTTCTGAGCTATCCAGGTCTACATAGTGAGACCTTGTCTCAAAAAAATATCCTATAGGACTCTTGACATGTTGCCATATGCAAGTCTCCCTCTATGAAAGCTGAGGCCTCTAGACCCACAGAGCCTAGAAGATAAAGGAAATGAGGTACATACAGATCCACCCCATAAACCCCTCAAATGATGGCAACAAAGGCTGTTCATACTTTAATCCCTTGCCTTCCAGAACCATCTGTTCTTTATACTAAGAATACAACCATCTAATAGCTGCTGATTTAGGAATGTGCTGTGTCCCAGAGGACAGCACCCATCCTCACAGGGCAGCATCTCCAAGCTGGTGCCCCTCTATTGCTCTTAGACCATAAGCTTTAGGATGGCTTGGTCTCCAACAGAACCTGTGGACTCTAAGGTCATAAACACCCTACTGTGCCTCGTCTGCGCAGTTTTGGAAAGATATCTAGAAAAGTCAGGTTCATTCTGAAGTAGATGGCTTTGCAAAACAGAGTACCAGGGTTCCAATCCTGCTTCTGTCATATAATTCTGACCTTGGACTGGGCACAGTGTGTAACTGTGAATGGGGAGATGTGACCACAAGGATCTAACACCCAAGCAAAGCCTCCTGCCACATGTATGCTGGGAGGACAGTGGGTCCTATCTATTTACTCCTTCCCTAGTCTTCTAGGCTACTTCCCCTCCAGGGTTCTGTGGAGTTGGCATCTAACTTGTTTTCCTGGAACAGAAAACAATGCTTTCACACTATTTCAGAATTTAAAAACCACTGGAGCTAAAAGCAGAGGCCATTAACAGAGACACAACCATAAATCTAGGTTGGCAGGGCTGAGGGCCAATGGTTCCCTGTGGCCCAGCTCTAGGGGTTCCTGTACATGAGACCACTGACCACAGAGTAGCACACCCTGGAGGCTGGAGGGACTAACCTCAGAGCAAGCCAACTCCCTCTCCCAGGGTTCTCAGGGAGATGCCTCCACATGGTCACCAGGATTTCCTTACTGGGAGCAAAGGGAGAGGAACGTGCAGCAGGTCCATAGCTGTTCTTATTCAGGATGGTGGAATGAGATGTGCCATTCCCCATCTCCTGTCTACAAATCTCCTGGAAATTATATAAAAGTAATAAGAAACAGAGTGACTCCTTAGTGGAACTTGAAAGAAAGGAAAGGGTACCATCAGCCAACCAGAAGGTTTGAGAAGCTTCTGGAAGCCTGTGAGTAAATGGGATTGCAAGACAAGGTAGAGAAATAGAATAGAGGAAGATTATACTCCAAACCAGCAAGGGGCTGTATGACAAAAGACATTTTCCCCCAGGGTCTGGGAGAAATGCCAGAGGTCCCTGGTACAGGGAGGGAGGAGAGGACACCAGGAGAGCAAAATAAGGGACAAGGGGGAGACAATGAAGATACATACACACGCACACCAACACACATGGGAAGGAAGGCTCAGTGGGTAAAGGCACTTGCCACCAAGCCTGATGACGTGAGTTCAATCCCTGAACCTATGGGAGAAGGAGAGAACAGATTCCTAAAAGTTATCCTTTGATGTCTACACATGCACCGAGGACCCCGAGGCACATACGCACACACACACACACACACACACACACACACACACACACACACACTCTTTCTCTCTCTCTCAATCAACCAATCAAGCAATCAATAATGTAATAAAAAATTTAAATAAAAGACAAAATCCTGATATAATAAACAATGTAAGGAAATACAGTCAATAATTAATTTTGAAAATAAAACCAACCTAACAAACAAACAAAAACAACTTGAGGAAGAGTTACTTTGGCTCAGGGTCTGAGAGGTTTTAGTCCATAGTTGTCCAGTCCTGGGAGTCAGGGCTTGTGTGAGTCAGCATTTCATGGTGAGAAGGGTGAGATGCAGGAAAACCCCCCACCTCAAGGCAAGTGGCAGAGAGGGAGGTGGGGGGGCCTGGATGAACAATGTGTAGTCTCCCAGACACACCCACAGTGACCCACTACCTCCAATGAGGTCTTACCTCCTAGTTTCCATCATTTCCTTCCAGTGTGAAGGTAAGAGGACAACCTCAGGTGTCAGTCCTCACAGTGTCTCTACTATTGTTCACTGCTGTGCATTTCAAGCTAGGTGGCCCACCGGCTTCCAGTGAGTCCTCTGTGCCCTGGGATAACTGATGCTTGCACTACGTCAACTGGCTTTTAGGTGGGTTCTGAGATCTGAATTCAGGTAATCAGACTGGCACAGGAAACTCCATCTACTGAGTCTTCTCCCTAGCCCCAAAGCAGTTTTCTACAAAGAGCACTGATGAACCCCAATGGAAGGGATACTTGTAACAAGACCATGATGGAAAAGATGCTCTGGACAAGACCAATGAGCCCCAGTGGAAGGGATGCTCTGGACAAGACCAATGAGCCCCAGTGGAAGGGAAGCTCTGGACAAGACCAATGAGCCCCAGTGGAAGGGAAGCTCTGGACAAGACCAATGAGCCCCAGTGGAAGGGATGCTCTGGACAAGACCAATGAGCCCCAGTGGAACGGATGCTCTGGGTGTGGAATGAGGATCAGCGCTTCCCTGCCCTCCCGGGACACCACCCTCCAGTAACCTCCTGCACTTGGATACCTGGAAGCTCTCCAGACCTTGTTCATTTGGGTTTTATGGAGACTTTAGCACATAGCTGTGATTGGTGAAATCATTGACCACTGGGGATCAGCTTTATTTCAGTTTCTCTCCCCTTTCTGGAAGTCGGGAATCGAGTCTGAAAATATCAATGTTTTCATCCTCCCTTGAGCTTTTCGGTGACCATCCCCTATCCTGGAGCTCTTTAGGAACACCACTCAGTATCAACCAACTCACAGCATACAAAGAAACACATATCACTGACCATTGCAAAGATTTCGGGGGGGGTACTATATGCCAGGAAAGGAAGGTAGATCCAACACAGTTATATTAGTCAGGGTTCTCTAAAGAAACAGAACCAGTAGAATGAATATACAAATATATAGATCCACATATATATATATATATGGATTTATCAGATTAGCTCACACAATAGAATCCAAGTAGTCCAACAATGGCTGCACCACACTGGAGAGTCTGAGACTCCAGTAGTTCCTCAGTCCACGAGGCTGGATGTCTCAGTAGTCCCGATCTGGCACTGAAGGTCTGACAAACTCCAAGAGATCTGCTAGTCTTCAGTCTACAGCAGCAAGATGAACTCACCAGCGAGAGAGAAGGCAAGCAGCAAGAAGCCAGGTGTTCTCCTCTGCCGTGGCCTTTTATATGGGCTGCCATCAGAAGGTAACACCCACATTTAGGGTGTGTCTTTCAGCTTCAGATGATCCAATCAAGAGGGTCTCTCTCATTTTAGCTAATCCCAGATCCAGTCAAGTTAACACCCAAGATTAGCCATCACAACAATATTTCACAGTACCAGACCTCCCACTTAGCTATCCATCTGTTGAACATTGACCTAGCCCTTTTATTATTGAGTTACTACTGCATTTCAGAGACTAAGCCCTGGAGAGTACATACATGAGTGTTTTAAAACTCACAAAACCTTCCAAGTCTAAAATATTAGTATCTCCATTTTTCAAGTAAGAAAACTGGACTTGTAAAGAAATGAAGTATGCTGGGGACATGATTCAT